ATTTTAACTCAATAAACTGGTCTTAAAAGTATTGTTTTTTTCCCCCAATTTTGGTGCAAATACATAAAGCAGGTAATCATGATTCATATTCATTGTTTATGTTTATATTGTCACATAGGACAACCGTGGACATCAATTAAGCTTTTTGCTGGTCTACCTGTCGCTCTCAATGACAAGTTACCATTGCCTGTTTCTGTAGTCGTAGACATTGATCACCAGCTCAGGTCCTGGAGATCTACATTCCTGCAGAGTCTAGATCCAACCTCAGTCTGCCACAGCTGTCCAGCTACTTAAATTCTTGATTGTACTTGATGGGCTTGATCAGTTAGATTAGTGTTGGGTAAGGAAGGAGGACAGTAGGTTGAAACTAAATTCTGCAGGAAAGTAGATTTCCAGAAGGAGGGTTGGTGACCTGGCTAGTACCACTACTATACATATCTGGCTGTACCTGGTAGTTTAATACAGAATGAAGAACACCGATGGTGGGATGTTTAAGATCAGTTGCATTCACAAAGGAAAATCAGTCAATGTTCTGAACAAAGTTGAAGTCAGTTCCAGTATTCTGTCTGAATGTCCTGATCACCATGCTGCACTTGCAGAAGGTCTGCTCCCTGAATGATTCGCCGAATCACAGTGGCTGATGTGAGCAACATGTGACCTGCTGCTTGGAGTACAGTGGAGACCATCCTGAGGACTTCCCTGTGATGGAGAAATAAGATGGGAACATGAGACATGCTGCTGGCACAGTGTTTGAATAAATATATCTGACATGCAAGTAGAGTCATCTGGTCAGTTGAGCATTAAAACAGTGTAAGAGAAATCTTGTATCAAGTTAAAATACAAAAACTCTTACATGGGTCACAGTGTATAGTCTGAAATAGCTGAAATCCCTGCCTTAACACTGCTATTATGATGCTTTTGTAGCTACATCGCATGTAAATGGACTGAATTCAACCTACACGCAGCAACAGAACAGCAACTGGGGAAGTTGAAAATCAGTGTCATGTGTACCTATTCCCCATAAGGATGTACAAAGAATTCATGTCTACACCGATTTTCAAAATGTAAGAATAATTATGAACAACGTTTACAGGCAAATCGAGATTTCCGGTTCCTCTCACCTGAGCACTTTTTTGGGTCCCAGGCATTTGAAATCTGCGCTGATGGAGTACAGACCCTGGAATGTGGCCTTCACACTCAGAGAGCCAAACACATCCTTTGGGTTCAAGCGGTAAAGGTCAAAGGTCACTCGAGCAATGTCACGACCAGTGCGGGGTTTGCTGTCAGCTGGTTTGGAGCCGCTTCTCTGGCCTAACTGTCAATGATAAGCATGTTTAAGCTTGGAAACAACAGGCAACTGACCATAATAATATACAGCTGTATGCAAAAGTCTTAACACCCCTGGTCAAATGACATTTTGTTCATTTTCTACATGTGAAAATAACATCCTCTATAGGGAACAAACTTAAATATGCCATTTTCCTACAAGCTATAGTGCACATTATTTATTTGCTGAGTTCTACATAATGGAAAAAATGATTGTGGCAAATACTTTTGCAAAGGCCTCGTTATATGTAAGTAATCATGCATTAGAGGATGTGTTAACTTATTTTCACTTAGAAAATCAACAATACATGTATTTTGACCAGGGGCACCCAAACATTTGAGCACTACTGTATCTGAGATATTTTATGTAATGAGTATATTATGAAATGTTTTTAAAACACACATACAAAACATGCACTCATTGGTTTCTTTTATATCATGAAAATATTCCAACTTTCTATTTACTTTGAGAAGTTATGGTATTAGTTTCAAATTGAAAATAAATAATATGATTATGTGAATATGTCCTCAGCAAGTAACACACTGTTATTGTAAGAGAATTAAGTTTAATACGTTATTTTGCTACAGCACTAAAATATTTCAAAAATGTATTTTTCCTTCCAGAAGTAACACAGAGTGGACGTACTATGTGAAATAGTAAGTTCATTCACAGCAGAGATCATCCACACGGACTCAGTATTCACTAATAAACAGATGCATACAGCCATACGTACAGGATGGGGTCTCCAGGCCTGCTTTGGCTCCAAGGCCATGAGAACTGCATTGTCTGGCAGAGCCATGAGGAACTCGTCTGAGTCCACTTCAGTGCCGTCTTCCTCACACACTAGAGACAGCAGGGTGGGAATCAGCAGAGTGTGGGCTGCCTGACAAACATATACACAATGCATAAGAACACTGAACAACATAGACCTATGCAGATTTGAGTTGAGCTGCTTCTTAATTGTTTATCTCTGCCTTACAAGTAATGAGACATTTCAAACTGACTGCAAAGTTGACTGACTGAGAAAGTCCTGCCCCAGTTATTTACTGTTGCTGCGTCTGTCAAACTTTCAGCTGAGACTACTTGGTAGCATCTGTACACTAGGCCTGTCACAATTGTTACATGATCGCCTAATTGCAATTATTTAAGATGATTTCGGATATTTAAGCAATGATTTCCCAGAGTCAGTATTTGTTGCAATATAACAACAAACACTGTTTGATCTAAAGGAAAATAAATGTAAATAAAGCAATAAATGCATTCATTGAGACTTCATGGGACTTATGTAAACAAAAAAGTTATAGCTTCTAATACGCTTTAACGTTTGGAGGGCAGCACGAGAAATGTTTGTTTATTTGTTAGTTATGCTAATATTTTTTCGTACATGCTAGCAGAATGAAAGGTGGTTTTGATAATAGTTATATATAATGTAGGGTTGCTTAAATCTACACATAATTCTGTGTAACTATAGACATTTGTGGGAGTGTGCAAAGTATTGATTTGACAGTACAAAGTAAATACAGTTAGCAAGTAAGATGGCTAATCAGTGAATGTGGCCTTTTTAGGCTATACCTTAATAGTTGCATACATCAAGCAAGAAAAGTAAATCAATAATTGCAGTCGTTTATATGACAATCGTCAGCTAAAATTTCATGATTGTGACACCTACCGTACACACTTGTGTTAAAAAAGTAAAAGGATCTGTAGCGGGAGTACATGGAAACAATGTTTACATTAATCAAACCAAGGAAATAGTTTAGTTGCTCCACATTACAGCGGTAGGTTTCATGTCTAAAAAGAGGAAGGGTTTAGAGATAGAATCTGCCCCTTTCAGATGAGCTAATGCTAAAGCTAACACTGGAGCTAGTCAGAGCAATGTTAGATTCTGAGGAGGACTTGTCTTTTACTCGAGGTCTTTCGGCAAACTTTGATGAAACACATACAAAGAATGGCATGTGTGTGCAGAAGAATCATATTTTTACAAATGGTCAATTTCTTTCATAATAAAATTTGTTCTTCAGATGTTTTACTTAGAAGTAAACAAAACAGAGGAAACGACACATTTAAGTTAACATTTTATTTTTTCCAATATGTAAAACTAAATAGAACTAAATCTAAAACTAAAACCTGTACAGACATTAATAGAAATTGTGCTGTATTTATACGTTTCCTCTCTGTAGAGGATGTGCTAACTTATTTTCACTTAGAAAATCAAAAAAACATCATTTTACCAGGGATATCCAAACTTTTGCATTCGTTTTTTATCAGTTGGTCACTCACTCACCCTCTGTTTGAGCTCCTTTAGGGTGGCGGCAGTGACTCCCTTTCGAACTTCTCTGTTCCATGAACACACTCTGAAAGGCCTCTGAGCAGGAGACCACACACGTCGAGACACTGACCTTAAATAAGGGTCAAAAGAATAAAAGAGATATCAGTAATTATTATATAATGGAGAGCCTTGGTTAATTACTGGTCAAACTCAGATGAAATTAGAACAAAGCATGTTGTGTGTGGCTTAGTGATCTAATCAGCACTCGTGTTTTATACAGTTTGGGCTGGTTCAGAAAATTTAGGTTAATTTAGCTTAAGCCTAAAAAAAAGTTTTCATTTACCATGACCAAAGTCCTTTACATACAAGGGCTGCATCAGCAGTTAATTAATACATTGAAACTTGAATCTTGAACTTTGAAATAAATAAATTAGAAAAAAAAAATAACAACAGAGCTCAGATCAATTGCTAATTTAGAAAAATATTTTTCCTCCAGAATTTGCAAGATAATTAAGCAGCAAAGCTTACTAATCTGTAGAACACATCTTACTGTACAAGAGACAATAATATAACAGCCATTAAAGAGTAGTTGCTCTCTATATTAAAGCAACGTATTTACACTAAATACATCTGAAGGTCTGTGTTATCATCAAACTTACTTAATCAGTGAGGATGTTGCATCCATTCTGGTGATCTCAGTTGTCCTATACTATTTTGCCTCTGTATACGTTTAGTTTTAATCCTTAGATGTGCTTCTCTAAGTCCTAGTAAAAGACGAAGAGCTGATTCTGTTGTAGCTGACTAAATGAGTTGTTTAGGCTGCCCTAAGGTCTGTTCTGCTTTTGTGGACTTCGACCTGAGCTGAATGATTCAGCCGGAGATGTCATGGGGCAAGGTCCGGTACTTGATAGTGCGCTGAGGGTGTGGGGTTTAAAAACATAAACTGCAAATAAACATACAGTGAAAAAAAATCTGAGCGTGTTGACTGAAACAGACTGGAATCACCAGCTTCCACTGATGACTTTAATTTTGAAAAACATGAATGGCTCGGTTTTACATCTTTTGTCAAAGCTCACTTCTAAAGAACATCAAGGATCGGTGGATTAAACCCCCCTGTTTATTACACACACAAAAACTCAATTCATGCAGCATATCGATTTTTTTACAAGCAGGAATCCCTGACTTTTCCTGACTTCCCCTGACTTGATGTTCCCACTTTCTGGAATCTTTTAGCCGCCGCATTTCAAAATCCGGACTTGCGAGCTCGGAGTGCGCACGGCTCTCAGCGGCGCGCTGTGCACTTGGAGTGCGGAAGTACAGACAAGACTCCTCCCCTGTACCGGAAACAGTTCAAGAGATTTGGCGCGACGCGAGAAGAAAGCTTACCGAGAGAGTTTTGAGGGTTTTTAAATGTTAACTCGCTCTGTTTTTGTTTAAAACGCGGGTATTCATCATTTAACTGGTATAACACGTATAATAAGTAACGTATCGTTTAAAACAGTTGTCATATGCCTTATTTGTATTTCATTCAACTTATTTAGCTTTAGTTAGGGCATTAATGTGATTGGCTAAGTTGGATAACTGAAACTGGAACTCAGTTAATGTAAACTTCGCGTTGTTGATAAATATTTTCATTGGGAGCGCAGAACAATCCAACAATGAAGACCTCAGGAAAAGCTGAAACTAACGGTGAGCGGACATTTTCCAGTTCAGCAAATGGATAGTTAGCTATATTTTAGAGTTCAGCTAAATTGTGAACTTGAATTTATTTTTGAATGTATGTTCTTGTAGGTCATGTATGGTTAGTTGGTTCTTAAATCGTTAGTAACCTGGTCTGGCTATTTAAATGTGTGTATTTGCTGTATGTGGTAGTGCAGTGTTTCCTAACCCTGGCCCTGCAGGTCCACTGCCCAGCGCGTTTGAGCGCCTTAGTGCCCGCTCTGTCACCCACACACATCAGCTGAGTAACAGGCTGTTAATGAGCTCATTATGTAGATCATGTGTGTCGAGAGCAGGGAGAACACTAAACAGTGCAGGGCAGATTTTAGTCAGGACAAGAGTTAGGAAACACCGTGTTAAAGGGGGATTCCCTTGATTTCTTCATCATTTAGTCATTAAATGTAAACAAAGTCATTTATAGCGATATTATGGAAACTTTAGAGTCAGAATTGTTGACGGAAGTGGGATAGGAACTTTCTTCATTTCCAAAGTGTTTAATGCCCCTAAAAGCCTGGGACATTTTTTTAGAATAGTTTCAAGAGAGAATTTTAGCCTGAACACATTTTTATGCATTCATGGTGGAGAAGTTCTTGCAGGCAAAATACCCAAAGCAAAATCTTTTTATTTTTTATTTTATTTTTCCAAATTTGCCACGGTTTTATAAGCATTAAGCTACATAAAAAAGTGGTAGGAGATGTAGACACGTGTAGGTTTATTGGTAATTTGGATAGTAAATAAAATGGCTATATTTGTGTTGTAGACGTCATGATGATGCCTGGTTCCTATCACCACCACTGTACAGAAATCTGACTGGCTGTGTCTTTGTACAGTGCACCATTTTACACCAAAACTTTCTGAATGTCTTTGTTTACATATCAACCGTTAAATTATGAAGGAATTTTGAGAAATCTGTGAAATTTTATCCTACCCCTTTTAACAGATATGAGGTAGTGTCTTCTGAGTGAGATTTCTTGGTTACTAGAAAATGTAAGCCAAGGATACAAGAGAGTACCTTGGGAACAGGTTACAGTATCAAACAGGAACAGTCTTGATTTCTGACTGAACAAGCTAACAGCTAACAACTAACTGAGATGGAAAGACCCAATGAATAGTCACTTTGTGGAACTCTTTCAAATCCTGTTTCTTCTTCCAATCAATCAATCAGATGAGCGTTTACCAGTTGCTTCCCTTCGTCTTCTGGCCCCACCCCTGAGACTCGTCTCCGCCGCAGTGTGGAAGGTGATGCAGCAGCGTGATGTGATGCATTATGGAAAGCTGGAGGAATTTGTGACCTCAGTTTCAGAGACTGTACCTGGGTTGCTAAGTTACAGACATCAGGCCAAGCTCACTGTGGGTCTGCAGGCACGGGTGAGTTTGTACTTATGGGTGTAACAATACACATGTTTTCAGGCTCAATTTGATTTTTGATTCTGAGATCTGAAAAAAGAATGTCTACTCCATAAAATAGTGTGCTACACTGATTGGCTCAGCTCAGATAAATAAATGAGGTCAGATGAAACAGCCATCAAACAAAACAGGACCAAATATTGCAACCTGTAGATAGCCCAGCTACAAGAGTGTGGGTGTCTATAACAGAACCCCTCCCCTTCCACTTTGCTCTCATAGGAGTCACCCAGATGCCTAGTTTTGAATATTTAGTGTTTTCCACAAAAGACTGTCAATGAGTGTCAATGAATGTTTGTTTTTCAGTATTATGCTAAATTTATTACACCCTTAAATGGGAATTCCACAGTATCCATTCATCACTGAGAGGTACATAGTTTTTTTTTCTGATTTTACCATCATAAACATTATAAATAAAAGCTCAGAAGACACGCGTATGTTTACTGGTTGTTTTGTTTACATCCCAACAACTGAATTATGCTAAAATTTTTCTTATGTGTCTTGATTTTAGTGTAAGTTAAGAGTCAGACCTTTCAGGCCAATCCTTGATAAGATCCAGAGTTAAGAATCATGTTTTTTTCCAGTTGTTCCTGCAGTATTTAAAAGGATCAGAGAAATGGCTCGCATCTTAGATGTTTTCCTAGCTGATCCTGGATCAACTTCGCATGTCCCAGTCTCCTGACCCTGAGCTCATTCTCCCTCAGCTGGAAAGACTGCACCCTCCCACCCTATCCAAAGGGAAAGTGAGTGGCCTTTATTCTATCAATTTTCCTCTTACTTTCACGTTTATTTTTTGATGTGCTGAACAGCTAATAACATTTTGTTTTCTGTATTTTGTGTTTCCTTTTAGAGAAAGGACCAAAAAGTCGAAATGGCTGTGAAGAACTTCCACACCCTTGTCCACACTCTGCTCAAGTCCCCAGCATTGAGGAGGCAGTTCTTCCAGGTGAGAAAGGTTGACATGGTGCTTCTCTGAATGTCTATTAGTAAAGTTAATAATGCTATTACATACTTTAAAAGATACTTCTCCTTCTCTTATATACATCCATATACACATAAAGTATTTTTTTCTCTAATTTAACTTCAGGAGGAGTTTGACTCTCAGTATGGACCACAGTACGACTCTGCCCTCGAAAAGCTGCTGTGGGAGTTTCTGACCAGACTGGACCAGCTGCTTCCAGTCCCAGATCTTGCCCAGGTCTTTGTTTTTCTTTTCAATCTGCTATTATGTGCCATTTGTTGACTGTATAACATCATTTCTAAATCTTAAACCAAATGTCATATTCAGAATGTAAGTAGTCGTTATTGTGATGCTGCAGTGAACTTAAGTTATAAAAACATTATTTAAAGGGCTGATTTGCAAACATTTTTCTTAAAAGTTTTCAAGCACCAGTTTTTGGCATTTATAAGGTTTCATGGTTGTCAATGACACACAAAAAACTCTGTGTCTTGACTGCAAATTTTTCAGGGTTTCCACTGGAGGTGGCCAGTAAGGATACTTGAAGATATTTTCATGATACACCATACTATTTTGCATTGACACTGATAAAAAGTGCTGTTTGTGGTCCAGTGCTGCATTAAATGACAACTTTATCATTGTATTGCCCACCTCTAGTTCCGACACATTCAGGAAATCTAGAAAATCATAGACAACTGTTCTAGTCTTAGAAAATACCTGGAAAACTGATAAAAGTCTTGGAAATATTTGCGAAGTTAAAAGTTGGGCCAATAGGCCACAAAGATGTTAGCATATGTTTAGCTGGTAATGCCCAGTTTGACTGTTCATTCATACTTACTATAATTTGAAATGCTGCAGTGTCACATTGACAGATATGAGGACGCCGTGTTGGAACGCCTGGTAGAGTGAGGCTACATTAACACACGCCAGCTTCTTGCAGCATGTAACGTTTGTTCCTAATATTTTAGATTGGGATCCACAATGATATCAGCATCAGCAGATAATTGCTTACATAAAACATATCAGCATAGGACAGATGTTTAGTTTTGACTGACATTTCAAACTGATATTTGATGATGTGTCTCCAGAGGAGCATAATATTTAGGTAGCACTGGGCTACAATGCTAACATTCTGCAATTGTATCAAATTTGCTGCATTGGTTAATCTTTAGAAATGAATGTCATACTAATCCAAGTATATTTTTGGATATTTATGTATCGGAATCCTTAGATATGTTGATATGTTCATATATATGAAGGTGTCATTAGAGGTTGTTTTGTTAAGGATGTTTGCATTTTAAGATTACTATTCATGAGTAAAAGCTTTTGCGTATATTAGTCAGAAATTGTTCTGAAAAATTATTTTTCTAAAAGTGTGGAACCCTGTTTTTTGTTGACCCATTAAACATTTAAAGTGTGAAAAGCCTTATAGAAGAGCCTCTGAGTAGTTTTTATGCTGACATTGGACCAGCTTCCTCTAATGAGCCAGTTGTTAAGAAGTACATGAGAAACAGAGGTCATCTCAGATCACCATTAAAAGGCCTTGTCACATGTCCCTGTTCTAATTGTACAATGTGTACTGTACAGTCTGGTACTTGTACTTTTGTGCATTTACACATGCATTCATGTGCTCTCCAGTTAATATCAAAGTATGTTTGTTTCTCGTTTATCCAAAAAGAATTGAAGACCACACAGAATGTATACTTAACCTTAAAGTCCCAGGATTATTATATAAGTCTTATTATTCAGAAACTATGTGGACTACAATGCAAACAGAGTTAATCTTAGGTTACAGATCCTAAGATACGCGGGTCCTGGCCACAAAGAACCCCCTGATTGAACCTAGCTGGTGACTGTGTGTGTTTGTGTTTCAGACTGTGTCATGGCTTAGTGCTGCCCCAGCTGTGCTGGAAGAGTGTGCACGCTCTGCAACTCAGCCACAGCTCCTCCGGACTCTGCTGCAGCATGAGAAATGTCTCGGACACTTGGACTCAGCGGGTCAGCATAGTAACAATGTGAATGATTTGAATATCGAAAACATTGATTCAGATTGATGTTTTGGTAATGCTGACTTGCTGATTACTCATCCTGTTTATGCTTGCATTTCTCTCTTTCACCCCAGCATCTATTCCTTCCTCCACTGGGGACTCTATCCTATCCTCCCTTTCCCTCCCTCCTTCTGGCAGGGTGCGGCACACAAACCGATCAGGATCAGCTCCTGTGCCGAACCTTGCCTTGAGTCCCGCTACATCGACAGAGAAGTCCAGTAGCAGGCAAAGTAGCAGAACAGTGTCGCAAATCGCACCTGTGATTGGGACAATATCCGGTAAAGAGCTCACTCAGAGGACTTTAGGAAGAGACAGTGAAAATGAACTGATAAACAAAGACGCTTCCAGTTACACAAGGACAAAATTAAGGTCATGTCCAGCAAGCGAGATTTTGGAGAACGTTCCAGAGGAGGAACACTTTGTTGGGAATATGCTGGTTACTGTAGTCAGTCAAACACCTACAAGCAGTGAAGCGGAAGACACTGATGAAGCTCAACTGCGACCAGTGAGAAGAAGCGCCCAGAGGAGAAGTAGTAGTACAAGAGCACTGGAGCAGGACAGGAAGATTAAAGAAGAAAGGCTTGAAGATGACAGCAAGACATGCTCAGGAACTGCGCAGGACATCGTATCCCATGAAGGCAAGCATCTGCCTGCTGTCCTTGCCTCCTGTATGAAGCGTCAACTTAGAGTCGTCATCCCAAGACTGGATATCAGAGATGTTACTCAACTTGTGTCACTGAACAGCATGAACACCATGGCTACCACAGCCAGTGAGGAACAGATTACAAAATCCCCTAAGTCAGTCATTCACAGAGCACGCATGCACAGTGAGAAATGCTGACTCTGTGAACCGAAAGAGGAAACTCGATTGCACATGGACCCCTGAAAAGAGCCTGAGTGGCACAACTGATAAGCAGTGAGGGAAACTCTTTTGCATGTGTATAGAGAAACTCAGTGCATGAGTATGTTATCTCTACATGGTATGAGTATTGCCTGTTTGAGATGAGAATAAATACATGACTGATATCTGATGTGGTCAATAAAGTCTTTTTAGCCCAAGGAGCTACTGAACAATCATAGTAATAATAATAATCTCTTTCCGTCTAGAGTCTGTGCTGGGTCACCCTGTATTCCCACAGTCATGCTTGCAAGGATGGATAGTTCAGGTAACTATGATCAGATAAAACCCCCATTTAGGGGATTAAGGCCCAATCCCAGTTCTTAATTTTACCCCTACCCCTTGTTTCTAAGTGTCACCTTGCCCCTAAGAACTGAGATACAAGGGGTAGTGGTTGAAATCTTTCTCTACGAAATGGGACAAATAAAAAAGCCTCAAATAAAAAAAGAACAGTACGTAATTAACAAGCTGCTAGCAGCGCTCTGTAGGCAACCCCGCCAGTTGCTGCAGTTCAGCAACCTCGCTTCTGGCCTTCAGTTAAATTTAGGGCACCATATGCGTTCAAAGAGGTGGAATGTGACAATTATTTATTGTCACCCCCCCTCTAATTCTTTGGTAATGTGAAGCTGAAGTCAGCTATTCGCCAGCTTCTCGTTCAGAGTTTCCTTTTCTACCTTAAATAGAGCAGCAGTTACATTCGGACAGATCAGGCATCAGTAATGCTGGACTATTTAAGGTGTTATGGGAAATACCCAGACATCAGCAAACTATTAGTGAATTTTTATGCTTGTTATGAAAAAAAGTACCATACTACATTGATTTGACAATGAACTAAGAGAACACAATGGATATTGTAATTTTTTAATAGAGAAATTACTCACATTTGTGAGCTTTTTTTTTGGTCGCTTGCGTAGCCATCTTGCCCATTTTTGTTTTTGTTTTTTTTTGGTGAATGCTCCTTCCTTACCTTGCAGCATTTTCCATTTTAGTCCTCATTCAACATGCTAGTCATTTGTTAAAGTCACATTTTAAGTTAGTTTTATCTAAAATTATAAAAAGAAACCCCTGGTACGTTTTAAAGCATAGTGTGAATTGGGGCTATTTATCTTGGCAGTAAGTGTGCTTAGGACTGTGAAACCAGTATAGCATTAGAATAAATACAGTAAAAACTAACAAGGTTTTTTTTTTTATTACTGATATCTTGGTTAGAAGAACAGTGTTTTGATTCCTGACTTCTTGCTGCACTCCAAAAACTTCACTGTTAAATTCCATAAGCAGCACCTGATTTATTTTAAGGAAGTACTAATTAGCTGTAAATACTGGACTTCTTTGAGAAGAGCTTTGGAAATGGTTAAGCTAATACACTCACACACATCAAAGCACAGTGGTGTGTGTGTGTGTGTATGTGTGTGTGTGTGTGTGTGTGTGTGTGTGTTTCTACTGTTGATGAGTCTACCTTTTTCCAGAAAAGGCCTCTCCTGTAAATGAATCCACTGATGACATCGTTGTTGATTCAGAAGATGAAGCCACTGAGAATGTGAAAGGCAGAGTAAGTCTGTACATTTAAATAAACAATACATATTAGTATAACAATAAAGAAGCTAATTTCATGATGCCAATGATGACGTGTTGTATTTGGGCAGCTGTTTTCAACTCGATACTGCAAGACCAAGAACAACACTTATGTTCCCACTTTACACGAGTTCTGGACACCTGTTTTCTTTCGTCGGGACCTTGTGTCTCCAGGAAATGGGTACAGATGATATTTATTTAAATAGATGTTTTGCTACTGCCAAACAACTGTGCTACCACTGATGTAGCATTTTTTTCTATGTTTTGTTGATGAGTAACTGTTTAGCACTCTTTTAAACTATTGCATAAATATACTATATGTTTCCCTTTTCCTAAGTAGTTATTATGGAGTCAGATATCAGTATCTGTGTTTATGTCAGTATCAGTATTTATAACAAGATGCTGTGCATTAAAGGGGAATTCCATTGTTTTTTCTGTACAATTCAATCATTGAGATGCAAAAAAAGCTATTCAGTGTTTTGATGTGAAAGTGTGTGAAAATTACTTAGATTTCTGAATAGTGGTGGTGATAGAAATTAGGGGTCATAGTGTCTATTACACAAATATAGCCATTCGATTTGTGTGAAGTAGCTTTTAAGGCTTTGGGTTATTGGTTTCTATCACTATTTATATGAACAGTTCTGACTCGGTCGGTATTTCACATGAAAACATTCAGAATAACTTTGTTTCTGCATTTACCATTTCATTTATTTTGACTTGATTCATTTCCCTGAATTTCCCCTTTAATACCTTCTAGGACATAGGAAAAATATGTCTTAATGCAACAGTAAACACGTGTGCATGCTGTTTCATTTAGTTTATTTGTATATTTTAATTATTTTATTTTAGAAATCATGTCACAAACTACCTATATAAACATATTATTTTAATAAATATGCCTGAATAAACATAAACTGCATCTAATCACAGAGCACTTTTCATTTTACATTTAATAGCAAACAAACAAAGATGTGAAAATGTTCAGTTTATTGTAATTTTATATTGTGTGAATATCAAATCTGATGTCTGAATTTCTCATCTGTAGGTTATGTTGTATGATTATATAATATTGTATGATTGTAAATGAGTGTTTTCTGGCTATTTCAAACATGCACACACCCACACAAACTACAGTCTGCAATTCATGCCCCCCGTCACAGTAATAGTCTCTCCAGTGATGAAGGAGGCCTCGTCTGAACACAGGAACGCGATCACTTCCCCAATGTCCTCTGGCTTCCCCAGCCTACAGTTCACCAGATATTACAAATCATTCATGTCACAGTTCCTCAATGCAGTATTACAGACAGTTAAATCAATGGATGTCAGTAACACTATCCCCCTTTATTTCGAGATGTTTTTTTTAACAAACAAATAATGTTCCATGTTCTTGACTTCATCAGACATTACTACTCAGGAATGGCGAGTCAAGTGTGAGTGTTCTCTTTGGCTAGTCAATAATCAACTGCATAACTTTTTGTGTTGACTGTCAATGCGCCAAGTCTAATCTAATGTCAAACAAAGTAAAATACAAATACCTTTTTATGGACATCTGCTTCAGCAACTCGTTTGTCAAATCTTCACTCTGCCATAACTGAAACATCAAAGGAGTTGAGTAAAAACCCTTATGAATTTATATAGGCACTCGGCTCAAAATGAAAAATGTAACCATTGCTTCATTGGCTGTAAACATGCCTACTCGCCTCCTACAGTGATGCCACAGTAGTCTCTAGAGTGAGATTTTCCATTTTAAAGTCTTAAAAAAACCTTCTGAAGATGTATCTTGAAGGTGGGAGGAACATTTGAAAAACTATAACTGCTTTGGGGCAAATACATAAAGGTGGGCTGTTTGAATATTTTTTTATCTACTAGCTAAATAATGCAGAAGGAAGCCAGCAGATAGCTCATTTACTGCTAGGAAGATTAATATCACATCTGTATTTATTAACCGCTACACACCAATGTTGTATGACATATTTGTGTAATGCATACATGATATTGTAGTGAAAGAACATTGCCACATAATACTACAGAACATCAACATGTGTTTAATGCTAGTTGGAGGCTGGAATGCCCCTTTACAGTTCCTAATTTAGGGGACTGTAGGATAGAACAACACACAAAAAACCCTCCACAACATATGGTAGGTGATCAATATTCAAGCTTCAGAAAGAAAATGATAAAAATACAGTAACCAAAATGGAGGAGAGAAATACAAAGGGAAATGATCCTTACAGCAGTGCTGAACCGTGTCTTGATGATTCCTGGAGCCACACAGTTGATTCTGACGTTGCTCTGGGCGAGGTCAGGGGCGAGCGCTCGGGTTAGACCCAAAAGAGCCGTCTTACTCACGCTGTACGGACCCAGACCCTAACAACATGCAAAGGCCATGAGGTCAGCTCAGAACATGCACTATGTGGACAAAAGTATTGGGACACCTACACATTACATCTACAGGAGCTTTTATGACATCCCATTCTAAAGCCATAGGCATTAATATGGAGTTGGTGCCCCTTTGCAGCTCTAACAGCTTCCACTCTTCTGGGAAGTTTTCTGTAAGATTTTGGAGTGTGTCTGTGGGAATTTTTGCCCAATTATCAAGAAGAGCATATGTGAGGTTAGGCACTGATGTTGGACGAGAGGGCCTGGCTTGTAGTCTCCGTTCTAGTTCATCCCAAAGGTGTTTGATGGGGTTGAGGTCAGGGCTCTGTGAGGGCCAGTCAAGTTCTTCCATACCAAACTTACTAAGTGCTTGGTGATGTAAGGCTTTCATGCAGCTGCTCGATCATGAAAACCCATGCCATGAAGCTCCCGACGCAGTTTTTGTGCAGATGTTAATGTCAGAGGAGGTTTAGAACCCTACAGTTACTGAGTCAGCAGAGTGTTGGTGACTTTTATACACCATGTGTTTCAGCACTCGCCCAACCAAGCCCTGTAACTTTACGTAGTCTGACACTTCATGGTTCCTAAATGCTTCCACTTTTCAATAGTACCACTCACAGTTGATGGTGGAATATCTACGAGGGACGAAATTTTGCAAACTGACTTGCTGCCACAGTGTCATCCTATTACACTACCATGAATTCAGTGAGTACTTTAGAATGATCCATTCTTTCACAAATGTTTGTAAGGGCAGACTGCATGGCTAGCTGTTTGAATTCAATGATTTAGAGGTGTGAAGCAAAACTTTTGCCCATACAGTGTACATTCTAGAGTACATGGTGAGTGCTTACTGGATGAAAACTGTTCATGTTCATTCTGTCAATGTTATTGTTATATGGTCATTTTTGTTCTTTGGAATGCAGAATTTTACATGATATGACTGCTTACCTGCATTGGCTGGTATCCAGCTACTGAGGACACCAACACCACTGAGCCACCTCTGAAAAGGAGAATGGTTAACATTATCGTGGTCAGAAACAAATTTCTAAAAGAAGCTTTTACTCTTCTAGTCTTGCTTTATTCTCTCACCCTCTTTTCTCCATGTGAGGCACTACTTGTTTGGTCAGAAGGAATGCTGCTGTCACATTGACGTGTAATATCTGAGGAACACAACCACAAGAACAAAACTAAGTATGTGATAGAAGTGTAAATATGTTCAACAGCAAACTATAGGCAGGCATCTATAAACAGTGAGGACCCAGAACATTGAGTAGTGATGGATCTGGTAGGTTTTTCTCAGCATTGCTCTTTAAAGAGATGAACAGTCTATTTATATATATATATATATATATATATATATATATATATATATATATATATATATAATTATTGTTATTTTGCTATACTATTCAAATGTAATAACATAATTACATATTTTATCACCAGTAAGTAACACAATAAATTACATTTACAATTAATATACATTCTGTATTGTCAGGTTTTACTCTTTTTTTTGTTTTGATTTATGCAAAAACATGCCACAAATAAACTTGCATCAACTTTAAATATTAACAACATATCTCCTACTTGCAGAAACAAATGTGGTACCAGCTCAAAGTTAAGAATCCATACAATCTTTACTTCTTTCGATGAGTAAGAAATAAATAATATTGAATTGCACTATGCTTTTTGCATCTTCTAAGGGTATACATGTGTGTGTTTATATATATATATATATATATATATATATATATATATATATATATATGCATATATATATACACACACACACAATTGTTATTTATTGACAAAGTCATGTGCATATTATCGCTGTCAAAGCAAAACTTGGTATCTCCAAAAAGTAACTTTACAGGAGAAGGAAAAACATTTTTACCTTGCAATGTAAGTATATATATAAATATATATAAAGTTTTTAATCTAATCCATTTTGAACCATTTTTATGCATCCATTCATCATGCAATTTTGATACAGTGTGGATGGAATTTGCCATTTTCTCATTTTCTACAAAACAACCAAAGAGGAGATACAAGGTTTTGTTTCAACAGCATGATACCTTGTTCCAGACTTCTTCTGTAGATTCTAAGATGGTTCCAAAGAAAGGGTTCACTGCTGCATTAGAGACCAGAATATCAATACCCCCACATTGCTCCAGAGTCTAAGGAGAAAATGACATAACAGAAATCTCCAAAACACACACAGCGATCATTTTCCTACGTATTTATTTAGGGAAAAGGGACTAAGAGCTTACCATGCTGATCAGATTCTCTCTGTCCTCACTGTTTCCCACATTACAGCAGGTGCCAGTCACCTGGATATTTTCACTGCGCAACAGTGACACAGCCTTGTCCACGTTGGCTTGCCGACGACTGCTTACGACAACATGAGCTCCTCTCTTCCCAAGTGACTGTGCAGTAGCCAAGCCAATCCTGAAAATCAGGTTATTACACTATATTTTGACAACCTCATATTTTACACTGTGCCTGTGACAATGGCTAGAAATTATGTCTGCTGTTGTTACTTAATCTTGACAATCGCAATGGCCAAAATTGCAGGAACTACAAAAGAAACATCAGAGGAAGATTTGGTACCCATCTGTGGATGCAGTAACTATGGCAACTTTTCCAGCCAGGCTACCCTGGGACATCATTCTTCTACCGGCAACTGCGTTAGTCAAAAGGCACTTGGTGACTGCCCTCAACATTACCTTATTATGAGAGAAAAGAGAAAATGTTATAATATCATATTACAATAACCATTAAAACCCATAATGACAGCTGTTTGGAAGTAGCTGGAGAGCAGCAAATTTTTCATCTAACAGAATCACAGAAATATTGCCATATAGCCTAAAATCTGAAACTACAAATTAGCTTTCCTTACACAAGTGATTTTTTCAGAAAGAACTGAAAAAGTAAGGGCTACTTCAGCGGTCTATAGATTCTTAACAATCGATCAGATTTCTTTCTAGCTGACACCTGCCATGGTGACCTTAGGCTCATGTGCAGCTGCTCCAGAGAAACCCATTCTATTGTTGATGCTTTTCTATGGAGGTTACACAAACTGTGTGTGTGCAATTAATTTTCTGTGTCAGCAATGGGTACATCTTGGAGGAATTTCACAGATTTTTTCAATTTCTGGTTAATTCAATTGCTGTGCTGTAAACAGTCATTAAGAGTAGTTTGATGTGAAATGGTGCACTGTACTGAAACTCACCGACTTGGATTTCTTCACAGTGCTGGGATCAGTGTTTACGATGCAGATATAGACGTTTTATTTACAATGCAAAATACAAAGTGCATCTGAACGTTAGTTGTGTATGTAATGA